GTCTGAGACGGAGATGCGAACTATCCTCTGCAAGGAAATGGGGGAGAAGACTGCCGGAGTACAACTTGGGAATGGTGTTTGGAGTAAAGCCGTTCGGATGCTTACCGGAACTGTTTTCTAAAGAACTTATGAATGGACAAGGAGTGGGTATGGGTCTTTACGGCGTTAAATTGGCTGGTTGCGTAATTGAAGGGCCAACGTGATTGTACATAGACGTTCCGAGTTCTTTCGTTTCAGGGTTGGCGTTTGTTGATTGAATGGCCTTCCTGAAGATATCTCATTTGTACATGGAAAGCTTTCTATGATGTTCAAATCAGCAAATTTCGAGAGTAGAAAGAAGTATGTATTGCTGATCGCGTCATTCATAAAGATTATATTCAGGATAGTATGTCGTCACATGTCGTGTTGCTTGTATACAGCTTTAATGCATTGAGAACGCGCAACCCAACCCCATATTAGGGGAATGGGTTTGCAAACCCTCCCCCAGGCCAGTCGGTCCGTCCCGGGCCCTGATCGTTACCAAATTGAGTTGGGGTTTCAGAAGAGAATCCCATATTAAAGGAAGCCGAATGCACATTATCCGACGGGGCTGTGGTAGTTGTTGCTGTGAAGGACGGCGCCGTTCCTTGAAAGAAGCCTTGTATGTAGGGATCGTCACTGAACTGATTCGAATCGGGGAGTCCCCAGTCCGCTACCGGAATGGTCTGCCAGAAATCGCTTTGAGGGATGTGGTTGGCTACCGGGATTGGGAGGAAAGCGTCAAAGGGATAGGTGCTATTATTGAATCCTTCGGGGGAGACGGATGATTCAGCTGACGCTGCGGCGTTCTGGCAGGTATTTTGGAGTGGAGGATTAGGGCTTAAGGATTGGAGGTCATCGGACGCTGGAGGGCTGCTGTCGGGCACCACGTAGCCGGAAGAGTTGATGCGGGGAAGACCGGGGAGATGCGGAATATCGATGATCGAGGGCGAGTGGACGGGAGAAGATGAAGGAGATGATTTTGGCGCTTCTGCTGGTTGGTGTCGCCGGCTTTGTGGCTCGTCTGAAGCGAGATAGTGGGCTTCTGATCTGGTCATTGATGCACGAGAATTTGCTTTTTGGCTGAGTTTGGTTGCCTTTTGATCCCGTTCTACGACAGATCTGGCTATTCGTTCAAAGTTTGCGCTCATTTGAGTCATGAACCGGGCGTAGTTGGAGGGCCCGTCACCGGGGATCAGCGTGGCGAAGAATGTCGAGGCCATATTGAGCGATTGAATGTCCTCCCGGGCGTTAGGGTACCGCGAGTCTCGTAGAATATTTATAAAAATTGTCATAACGGCCAGAAACACGTAATATAGAAGAGACCTGTGCGACTAGTGAGCATCAAAATGGAGATAAACAGGTGCCGGATGCGATCGTTGTCTTACCATATCCATGCTATATCACCCCATGGGAGATTATTAACAAGCCTCAATGTATCCCTAGCAGCCTCTGAACAAAGAGCAATGGAGGAGGACGACTCTCGAAGGATCAAATTGGCATCTTCAGATGCCGGACCTCCATTTGCGAGACGTTGTCGGTAGATAAAGTGAATGACTAGCGGCATCCGATGGATCAAGATCAAAGAGTTGAAGTAGACGAACTGCATGCCAGCGGACGCAAATCCTCGCAGAAAATCTTCGCCTGCCGCTCCCTGTTTCAATTGATCATCAAACGTGTTCGCCGCCCTCCATTCTTCGAGTTCAGCGTGAAGTTCCTTCACGATCTTGATGACTTCAGCTGCAGTCTTATTCTGCAAGGCTTTTTCAGAATAAAGCTTCGTGTATATACGACCCTTGATGATGGTAAGTCGACAGAGTTGCTGGAAAAATGGCTTGTTATCGCTTAGCAAAAGATCATTTTCGGCATCAACAGCAGGGATCTCGACGTCAAAATCGTCGGGATGTTGAGTTGGCGCATTCCCAGTTCGCATACACGTACTGCATTACCATCGTATCAGCTGCGAACAGTCGTGACAAAAAGGAAGCTGATAATTTCTATTTACCTTTGGTCTAGAATAAAGGCGATCCAGAAAACCCGTTTCCTCTGCTCCTGCTCCGCTGGGGCAAGGTGAGGCCGCGGAGTGTCACGATGGAGACCCAGTCGGTGGCACGCTCTGATGGCTGCTGTTATTAAAGGCATTGCTGACTGAGTGCCTGAATTACCGCGAAGAAAAAGTGCCATGCCAAGGAGGGCTTGTACACTTAAAATATCAGTCCGGCGCAGCGTAAGTTCAGCGAAAACCGACATGGCATTCTTATAATAGAGCCATGCTCTTTCTTTGTCTTTTTCCGATTTGAGACTGTTTGTGTATCTGTATTCATAGGCCAAGGCGAGAATGACATTGATGCTGGACCACCGAGCAGCGTCATCGCAAGTCTGCTGTGTATATTGCCATTCCACCATTTCCATAAAAGAAGCTTCATGGTAGAGCGGGAACAAGCGATTGATTGTTCGAAAATAATCGCGCAACAAGGAAAATACCTCCGCTCGGGGCGGAAGAGGTTTGAAGACCTTCGAGGCAAAGACATCGTGGAACACGTCGGGCCGCCAATAGTCCCATGGACTATCGTGCTTTGTGTCTGAGACTAGCAAGCGAAGGAAGTTCACTTCACCGGTCTTGTGCTTGATCCACTCAATCCCTTCTCTGGATAGAATGGACAATGAGGAAGAACGACCTGAAACGGGTCAGAATCTTAGAGAGTGCAGAAGGCTCAGATACTTGATCAACAACATACCATAGTATAAGGAGTCGGCCTTGTTGTCCCATCGAATTAGGGAAACATGCTGGCTATCTGCAGTACCCGAAAGCTTGCTAGATGGCTCAAGTTCCGACTGCTGATTGGTCGATTTCGACATCCGAATATTGTGCTCACCCAAGTTATGCGGCAGCATACTTGAGAGATCATCGTCACTTTCGGCTTCAAATCCGTCGTCTTCGAGAGAGACATCATCATCGCTGCTGGTTTCCGGAGGTGTAAGATTCTCTTCGTCCAGGAGACCAGCGGCTTTGAGCAGCGACTCCATCCTATCCAAGCGCTCTTTCAGAGCCTTTACATACAGGCGTCTAGATCTGTCAGCCGTGTACCACTTGTCGTAAAGTGGGAGACTGCGAGTCATTGCTCTGGTCTGGTGCACGCTTACCTTTTTCTACGCTCCTGCTTCTCCTTCCCCGAAGTGAGGTCGCATGGAATGCGACGACGCTTACATTGCTTACAAGACGTGTTGGAGGCATCAGGCTCACACTTTGTCTTGCTCTTGTAGCAAGCTTCGCAGACCTGGTGAGAAAACTCTGATCAATGCCGTTTCTTTACCGGAGCGGGAAATCCAGATGATTCTTACCACGGAGTTACGTATTCGATTCACATTGTGATGGTCTTCAGATCTTGGTGCTTGATGGATACGTGCATGACCGACCAGCGGCCCCATAGAAAGACCGCTCCCAGCTGCCACTGATAAGTTCTGCATGGTTTTGTTAAACCAGGCAGCGTGTTTCTGCTGTCATGAGCAGGATATATGGACCCGGACCTGCCGGAAGCCTGATTAGGAAGCCGCGAGATCACAATAGGGGAAGTTCTGAAAGTGAAAGGCTCTCTTGGACACGGGAAAGTCCAGCTGTTAGGCGAAGTTTAATCTTATACAAAAGAAAATGCACCGAACCAACTGGTCAGCTGTTTAGTTTGAAGCGGTTGGGATGTGATAACCTGGTGCTCCGCAGCTCTTTGACGGAGCCCACCAGGGAGCAGCTCCGGGGTCTCTTTGAATAGTCTACTATCCAAAATGTAGCAATGTTTATCCGAAAGACAAACATCAGACAGTATTAATGTCTCGAGGTAGAGATCTGGAGGTCAAAAATCTGAACACAAGGTTGGTAATATTCCGTCCTTGGCCGTCGGAGCATCGGGATCTCGGGCTCCCGATCATGTGTGGGACTGCCAAGATCCACCAACGCTAGCATGGGAATCCACCAGCAGCCTTCTACAGTCTATCTATGTGAGAACTTCCATAGGTATGACCTTCTATGTCACTAGTCCTGGTGGACGTATGTCGAGACTAGCAAGTGTGACCGCCGTGTTGAGCTTTCAGATCGTCAAGAAGCTTGTCTCTGGTGGTCTCATGTCCAAAAGAAACACACTTTGCCACAGAACTTGGACAGATGGGTAGCAATGACGGAATATGAGCGCCTGGGCTCAGCCCATGGACGCCGTCGTACTCTCAATTCTTCTAGTGAAAAGCCTTCTTGCAAGCTCACGAGGAGCGCTGGGCCGTTTGGGAATTAAGGGTCTGAGTTTCATCATAAGACCCGAGCTCTTTTCAGTCCAAGAAGGCACGGTTGATCGAGCGATTCCCTGACCACATTTTGAGGTACGTTTGCAAAAATCACGTAGGACGGGTTCCTCGAATGGAACCATGGGCTTGTATTCGCGTGTTGGGGGGTTGGGGTGTACCTTTTCTTGAACATGCTGGATGGTTTTGAAAGCCCTGTGACTCCGACCAACCACTGGTAATAAGAGTGTGAAGAGATCTGCTGTTACTACCACTTCTTGTGCGCAGTAAAGCGAGGATGAAGTGCTGGCTGCTCCCATGGGCTATCAACGTACGGTTTGGTGACAGGAGCGGATGCATCGGCGACCCAAGCTGCCATTTTCGATGAGCTCTTTCTTCTTCCCTATGGTGAGTATAAGCAGGGTCCTGCCATCACCCCTGAGTTCTAAAACCACCATTCACATCTTCATGCAGTTTGTGTAATGGTCTCGATACCGCGGGCTCGACAACCAACAGCCATCAGGCTGAGCAGGAATCCTGGTGTATACTCATGGCAGCCTGTCGGGGACACCTTCCAACAAGGCGACATGGGCAGACGGCAGGTTAAAGTTTTGGGTCGTCATATTAATTGTGGCTGTGATAGGCGGCTCCGGTGCCTCGGTGGTTGATCCTTGTCTTGGCGATTGAACATGGTGGTGAAATTGGCGATCCTTTGTTCAAGAGCGCGGGAGCGAGTGATTTGCGAGGAGAATCGCGCGCAACGTCGACATCAAATCCTCCTCGGCAACAGGCATGTCTGAGAGATTTGGGCCGTAGCCATCAAGAAACGAGAGCCCACCGTCGCGAATAGTGGAACTGTCCCAGTCAGCGGAGAGCAACCCATGAGAGGGATGAGACTTACCCATCAAGGTGCTGGTCCCAATGACCGGAAGTGGAAGGCGGGCGAAGCGAGCAGCGAGCACCCTTATTTGACCAAATGCACTTTGAGCACGCGCCGAGATGCAGGACTTTGCTTGTGTATGCGGGAGCGACTACGCATCTTTGGCAAGGACTCGGCTTTTCCGCGGATGACGCGCAGGGTTCGGGGTCGATCAGTCCACGCGTTTGGACATGGAGGGCAAATGAGTGGCCTTGGGCATTGAGCTGCTGCAGGCTATTCCAAAGTACCGCTTCAAGTGGGACGCAGTTTGCTTTTCGTTGCCAAGTCTCGTTTCCAGCATCACTCTGGTTCTTTTCGTCGGTGCAGCACCTGAAAGATTTGGCCCAAACAACGACCGAGAGAGATGCAAGATTGAGTGTATCCTCGATGCGAAGAAGTCCATTCTTTGCAACCATAGGTGTGATTAAGGCCCGTCCTACCAGCCGTGGTGGCGCGCATTGCCTATCTCTCCATCAACGAGAGTCAGACATCCTGCTATAATTGCCTCATTCGGTTTGCCAGCGACCGAGGCCCGTCGGCTGGGTTGGTTAGTTTCTCCTTGTCAATAATTCACTGGAGTTCATCGTCGATGTCATCCGTCTTCACAGTGGGGACTGGGGAGCTTTGTCAGACACTCAACAGGCGCCAGCCTGGTGTCGTAGGCTTTGCGGATGCCGTCTGACCCGCAGATCGGAACTCCTCCAGTCCCATAGTCGCATCAGAGCTGGGCTCTTCTCAGCATCGGACACCCGCATTCTGACAACCTGCACAGCCTTGATTGGGAGATAAGAAGGCCGTATAACGACGGTGGGATATGGCTATTTGTCTGGGAGGATGAATTGGAGAAAGGGGATTCTCCAGGAGCGTATAATGACTCAAAAGCTCATCAATGCGGCGTAGCAGCCCAGTGGTTGAGCAGATAAAGATAGCTGACCAGGATCAGTGGATGTTGAAAGAGAGTCTGTATGGAAACCCCAGCTACACACGCTAGATGCTAGTGCTTTTGCGAGTGAATTTCAACGCACTTGCAGTGAATTCATTCATAAGGCCAGTATGGAGTTGCCATTGAATATTATGATGTTTCTAATCTAGTAAACCCTTGAGTTCTGTGAAATCTGTGCACAATTATGCGACCAGGAGGAACTTAGGGCTGGTGTGTGTCGAAGTCAGAAAGACGTCAGTATAATCTACAACTCTACAGTCGATCCAGATTTTGGGTAGAAGCAGAGACATTCTAAGCAGTCTGCCTGCTAGTCTATCGAAGATGGATGTGCCAGTATCTATTCGCAATCTCTTCTCTTTCTCGTCTCTATAGAGCCTACGTCCAGTCAGGATTATACAGCGCTACACAGATATGGTCCAAGTGCTCAACCGTCTTCACCGTTAAACTGGAGTAAACGGTCCCTGGTTCAATCTCTACAATACCTAGAATCATCTTCAAAAAACAAAGTGTGCCATCGTTCGACTAGGGCCGCCTGCGTGAAAGACGGCGCAAAGACCTCTCGCAGCGGTATCATGACCAGGAGTTGCGGTCAGCAGAGAGACCGAAGGGGAAACGTCAACTGCATGGCGCGGCGAAATGATCATGAATTCATGACAGATTCGAACATGACAACAGACCTACAGGAGTATGGCCCTGTGGATCAAAGGATGGTTGAAGGTACCGATGGAACCTCCATGTCGAAGGCTGTTGTTCTAGACCGATCGAAAGCACGAATGAGTCTGATGAGTCAGTTCAGGAGTATCGAGATGTATAATGGAGGCGTCAATGTCCAGCACAGTAATCGGATAGAAACATTGACTGACAGCAAATCATGGAAACGACAGATGCCTTCCGAAGCGACCAATTACCAGCATCATCCAAGTAACTTGTAATATTGGACGCCTATCTCGGGCGCGAAGACTCAGACACGATAGCAAAAGAAAGGGTCATATCGCCAGACATAGTACCCGAAGGAAATTTCAGATGTTCAGATGACCAGGCGCTTGGATTTATTATGCTTGTTCATGTACCCCTGTACCATGGAGGAAAAAGCAATATCCCAGCCGGTGCTGAATATAGTAACAATAGACAGCTCTGTACGAGTGTACGACCAATCGCCAGACGCAAATCTTCCGTTCTAGACTCGAATCGGTCGACACCGTATTATCTCCTTGTCAGTTGTACTTGTTGGGTCGAAAAGGAGGCACGATGATAGCATCATGGGCAACAGACCGCTTTGCTGACCCGGGGTAAATGCATGTCGTGGTGTCACGATGCATCACATCCGCCTAGGCACCGGCCCCATGGTTTCTTGATCTCAGTCTGATCTCTTGGTTTTCTCTCATCATCGCTCATCTCTGCCTGGGCGATAACCGAAAATGGAGTACTCCGTAGGCGCAGTGACATCCCGCAATCGTGTGGTGGTGGTGGTTTCGACCATACCATATCACATGGGCATGGGCTTATTGACGTGGCTTGAATCCGTTCGCGGTAGGCTGAGTACCATGATCCTGACCCGCGGGAATGCAGTTAAGCAATGTACCATATGCTCTCTGCTTGTGACGATGATGGAATTTGAATATGATTATGATTATGATTATGACCACAGTCTGATTCAAGGGACTGAGCCTCGGAACGATACGTTGTCCGTGTGGCGTTGACAGTGTAGTGCATCCATCAAATGTTGTTATGGTTGGCATCCCAAAACCCGAGGAATCTATACCGCTACTTTGTGTACAGTGCTGCAGTGGTGCCGCTGATTGCGCCCATCACACGACTGCGGTGAGGGGATCCGATGCCGGATGATGCTCTTGTGGCGGCTAACTGGAGACGATCGAAGTTGATACAGAGATTTGCGCCCTGGAGAGGCTTGAAGAATGTTTGTTTGTCTGGTTCTGTGCTTATCTCGGTTGGATTGTCAATCACACTGAGACCTGTTCTGCCAGACCAGAAGTACGTGCATTGATGCGTTTGTTTTCTTTACTTTCCCCCACGAAGTACTCCGAAAGTAGACAGATCTCCACTATTGAAAGGAAGATCTGGCACCGGAAATGTCAAATGTGGCATCCGAAAGAAAGCCGTCTGATCAATCATGTAAATGGATTACATTGACGATATTTGAATGTATACGTATTCAGCCACTACTCCGTAGCAGATATTCCTGAGTACATTGATAGGTGGAAAAACAAGCTCACCGGATCATCATCATCAATAACAGAAGGAATCCAGTACAAATGATTGGTCTCTGAAGTATCGTACTTTGGAATTTTCGAGTTACATAGCGGCAGTATCTGACTCAATCTTTAACCTATCATTTACTCACCGAAATTCACCTTGAGTACGGAGTAACATGTCCATATGAGAGAGTCCAGTCGACATATCCAGTGCTCACAAATAGCCATAGAGCATAAACAATAACAAATCCTGAAACACAACCCTCACCACGTGAAGGGACCAATTTGTCCAGGAACACGAATCACATTCATCCCGCTAAACGATATCGAAGTCAGATGGCCTGGTAGCTTCTCGATGATTTGTTCACTAGTCTGCCACTATCGTGGTATGGAAAAGAAATCCCACGGCTGATATTCTCCTGGTGCCTGATTAGGCTATTGAGCGTTTACTTTTTTCTTCATAGCCATTTTCAAGGATTCTTTGCTACATGCTTCATCCACAGACAGAGTGGCTTGCGAAGGCGTTTGGCGTTTAGCGCATGATAGACAACACGACAACTTCTGACCGGGTCTTGAATCAAATGACCCGTTTCCAGGGGCAGAGATTGATTGAGACACAGCGTTCTCTACGCCGTAGGGCTATGACTGCCGCGAGGCCAAATATGTAGCACAGAGCATGAAACTATCCACATACATAGTGATGGAGGTATCGAGGGCGGTGGGTATGATTGTCAGTAAGGATCGGGCAGGAACAAGTACAGTACGTTTCAATACCGAAGGGAAAAGAGACAAAAGTACGTTTCTTTACTTCAGAGACTGTCGAGCAGAGCGGTATGTAGAGGCGTCGAACGATCGACACGGTCGAGGATTCTTTTTGATCCACAGGAGAAACGGTCAACATACCTGTGTTCCCAGGTACCTGGACAGCCAGGTGAGATAACCCTGGCCTACAGTGCTAGAGGGTGCCTTGGGTAGGTTTGAGATGATTGATGCTGGGTGAGATGGGCATGTCTTCCAGTACTCAATTGCATTCAATGCATGCAGACGTCGTAAGCTTCTGCTCTGAGGCTTGGTTAATTCATTCAAGGGATCGGATCAAGGTGCGGAGCGCTGCGATCTCCATCTCTGCGCCAAGGAGCAAAGGAAGCTTAAGTCGTGCTCGATCAAGCTAGGGGTTTCAGTCCAGTCATTATTGATCCTGATCTGTACACTCTGCTTAGACTTGCTCATGGGATATCGCCCGTTGATGGTGACTGGGGAACGACGGGCATTCAAGGGATAGACCATGGGCAAATCCACGTGAGCTCGCCTCAGACACAAACAGGGGCATCGGCCCTAATAGAATTTCATCTGCTTGATTCAATAGCTGACTCTGCCTTGGGACACTGTAGATAGACTGTCAATGTACAGCCATCAGATACGTACGACTGAGAGAGAATGAAGGTTTCGGAATTCCTTCCAATCTCCGGGAAGAAAGATCCGGAGTCCTTTCCTGAGTGATTGAGTGGGAACTGGCGAAGTGACCCTTGCGTAGAATATAACTCCTTGGAGACGGTTGAAGCTGCAAGATCCGCATAGACCTTTTCTGGGGTCCGCTAGTCGAATTCTCGAACATAACGGATGGATTCGTAACAGCACCGGATCTGCTTCCGTGTCGTGATCATGGAGTAAAGGACACTTCATTCATGGTTACTTGCTGGGTTGATCATGACTTTGGACTCCGGGGATTGCGGCCTGGGAAATATGTGGAATGTGACTGCTCGGAAACATACCTAGTAGAAGCAAAGGAAGGTCGAAAACCGATGGAACGGGTCAGCTTCCATTTCAACTAAATTTCGGTTATACGTTCATTGATTGCTGATGACTAGAATGCAGGGTACGTGAATCATTTATTGAACACCTGGACTGCGAGCAGGGTATTTGCTTTGAAGCTTCCTAGCGATCAAAGCATGCAGACAAAGACACGATATCCCTTGATAAATCGATAGCCAATTCCAGGCCATTGGTTTTTTGTCTTTTGACGATCCCCAGATAATATTGATATCTGTGCGCAACCCAAGCTTTGCCCTTTGCATAATCAAGAAATGAGAAAACAGGGATTTGAGACGTCTTCCCAAAGAATCTCGAAATCTGATGATGTCCTTTGCATAGGGCTGGATATATCCGCTCTTGGAATCAGCCACGGAATGTGTAGTCTCTAGAGTGGACTAGGCGCACCACATTCAGTTTTCAAGGCCAGGAGGCGCTATAATTATCAGGACTGAGATAACATTATTGTCCCTGCCGTGTCTTATGAGAGCGAAGTAGATACGGAACGCAATCCCATAATTGTCTCGAAGACACCGGTTGGCTCAGTCCTTTGTTCGGAACGTTTGGACAGCAGGCATGGCCAAGTTCAAGCCACTTACACACACCTACATAGTTAGCCCTTTCAGACCGCTATTGCAGATCACCTCCCGCGAACTCATTCTTTGACCGGTGCCGCAGCATTCGGCAGCAAATCGAGTTTACGACGTGGAAGTGCTCGCGAGGGCTTCCTGGCGCCTCATCGCTCGAACGGCTTCTGTAAGGAGGTCTTGTGAAAGTCGATAGTCAGTATCTCTGCATGTGTTCAGTATCTCTGCATGTGTCGCAGGGCCCTCAGGCATATGTGAGCTGGTTGGGATCATTGTACAGCGCAATTGAGTCCTCATGGGGCTAAAGGACGATTGTCTAGGAGGCATAATGGAGCAATCACGGCATCCTATGCTGTGCTACTAGTAATACCCTAACAGACTCAATGCCTAGGATCCCTAGGGCCTGTGGCACTTTTTGAGAGTACATCTATGAGTAGGTACTCTCAGCTCATGAACAATAGCCAGTACTCAGTGCTTCGAACTTATACAGCTAAGGGGCCGTCAACTGTCTCAATTTTGCCGTGCCAAATGATTCTCCAAAGCCCTTTCTTAACAAACTAATACACCATAGGTAGGAGACCATCCTGTAACTTTGGTGACAATACCGCATGCCTCTCGACCCCTTTTGCAGGTTCCTTAGGACCGATTCAGATTGACCATGAATCCAGACGATGGAAAACACGGAGCCCCTGCAAAACTTTTAGCTCTGCCTTCCCCCCATGGGCAACGGAAAAATACAAAGTCAAAAAAAGGGAAAGGAAAAAGTAAGGTAAATGCCGCGGGTCGACCTCCCATCATGTGACAAGGAGATGTTCTTGTGACCTCTATGTTTCGCCACTGAGATTGACACAGGTTGGACTTTTGCCCCCACGTCTAAAAGAACTCCGCAACCTCACTGCAGTACTTCGTAATCGATGTTGAAAGACAGTATTCAGCTTCGTTGATCTAACCTGTTATGGTTGGGTTGAGGTTCTTCTTCTGCCGAGGTGAATCATTCTGTGGCGCCTCAAGTGCCTCACTTTCAATTCAAGGTGCTTCACGCCAAGACTCGAGGTTGGCTGGTACAGGGTCGGAGGCTTCCGTTGCTGTGCAGAGTCGATGTGAATAGCTCAAAATTATGAGTCCTCCTCATTATTCCGATTGATAGCTACGTCTTCCTCCGGTTTCATCATCCTTCATACCGTGATACTTATTTCCATCGTCTTGATAGCGGAAGCTAGGGTCTGGTGCCGAATCACGGAGGACCTAGCCTGGCTGCCGAAGAGTCAAGACGTTGGTGTTACTGGAATTCCACATGAAGCACGGAGCAAAAGTAGGGCATTC